CCACCCTCATTTCTGTTAAGAGTTTGAGGGTACAACCCACTGTAACTGATTCCAGCATGATGAAAGGAGAGATGTCAATGGAAAAGAAAACACTGTGATGTTCCCATTTTATCTAAAAGCATAACATTATTTCATATTCTTCTTTTATACCGCTTAATACTATTTATCTTAGAGATTTACCTATTTTTAACTAAATTGAGTAGTGTATAAACTCCACTAATTATTATCAAAAATAATAAGTTATTATTTTTAATGTAATTTTCTAAATAAATATTATTAGGTTATATTTTTCAAAATATAGGATACATTTTAGTGATAAAATCTTACACAGTCTGTTAATTGCATCCAAAATAAAAAAATATGTATTTCAAAAGAATATACATATATGTGATTTTATCAAATTGCACTAACCTTGTTATGTAGTATGTAAAGTATGCAGAGTTATACAATACACTTCTTGGAGGTTGGCAGTGTTAAAATACAGCACATTTTACTTACATGGAGACTTTTATTCCAGAAAGGTATTGAAGGTGACAACTTGACAATGTGTCCTTGGGATGCTGTCATTTCTAGTCTTAGATCAGCGGACAAGACCTCAGCTGGCCTCTACAAGTCGCATAAGAACACTTCTGAAACCATCCCATTGGCCATGTTCCAGCTGTCACTCGGAAAAATATGATCAATTGAGATCAATCTGTGCAGCAGATAAGCCAGTCATATGACATGCTCCAATAGAGTTTTTTTGGGGGGGGAAGGCTTTATCAAATTCCTTGGACATGAATCACTGTTGGAGCCACAGTGTTTGCAAACCATTCTATCACCAGTCAAGAAGCTGCAGCTTTTGAAAAGTTGCTTGTCAGCTGGGCACAGTGGCATGCCTGTAATCACATCACTCAGGGATGCAGAGGCAGGCGGATTTCTGTGAGTTCAAGGCAGACATGGTCTACAAGGCAAGTCTAGGACAGCCAAGGCAACACAGAGAAACCCTGCCTTGAAAAAAAATAAAAAGTCACATCCTTTTAATGATCTAAACGATGCTTTTATTGTAAGGAGAAGAAATGAAAATGGTTACTTGGTAATATTATCTAAGCTTTGCACATGCAGCTTTCAGTAGAGTTACGTTGTATGGCTAAGTGGATCACAGTGTCCTGAAGTAAATATATAGATGCCCAGGCATGAGACTAGTAATAGTCTTGACCCTATTCTGAACTTGGATTTACAGTGTAGAAATAAATTCATTCAAATGAAAAAGTGCTGTGCAAAGGGCTGTGTAAAAAAATCTCATAAAGAACAATATAGTTGGTTAATAATGAAGAAGAAAGTATTTATTCTTTGTGATTGTATAGAAATATGTTTTAAATAAAGCACACTCTGCTAGTAGATGCCACTTGATTTGAATACTGAAGATGACTTGGAAGGAATCTCTGCTAACCACTATACCTAAAACTAAATTGAAGGGAGGGCTTTTATTATTCTTATTTCTAGAATATAAAACTGAGCCTTGCAGAAAATGAAAAGAACATAAGCTAAATAATGGAATTACACTATACTGAAAGTGTGCTAGCATGTTTTATTTGTTTTAATTCACTATCTACCCATAAAGTCAAAGATCTTATCTAAACAGTCAAAAAATATCCTAACTCAGTTGGCAGATGATGCAGGTTTTAGCATACAGATTTCTATAAATATAATAATCATAATTCTCCACCTGTCATTATAAAAAGCTAGCTTCTCTTTGGCCAGAGATGTGGAAGGCAGGCAATCCAAAGCTGCTTGCTCATACAAATGTTAGGAAAGAACGGGAAAGGTGCACTCTTACCCCTTCAAATGCTGTGAGTTGCCTGCTTTTGTAGAATGTAAATTTGTAACAAAATAACTGGGATCTTTAGAAATGGAATCTAGAATACATTTCACAACATGCCAAATTTTCTTTGTAATGCCTCATATGATAAATACTAAAGTGTTTAATGTTTTTCATGATATCTTACTAAGTGTCCTCCTCATTAGAAGACAAGAAAATCTAAGTCTTTTAAGCCATTTATATTTAAGTATTTCTAGCAACTTATGCCCTCTTCACTTTCCCTTAGCTCTGCAAATTTTTTTATATTACATTAAAGAAAATTTTGCCATAACATTTATTACTTAGAAATAGTATTAGTAATCTTAAGTAATGTATATAATTATAATGTCCAAAGCCAAAGGCCACTCATTAACATATTCATATAGATAAGTCATTTGCAACGTGGATGCCACTTTGAAAGCTACAGACATGTTTATTTATTGTGGCCTTGATTTGGGAGGTAAGAAAAGTAGAATTCTCCTCTAGGGTCAAATATATTTGAGAACATATACTGGACAGTAGATTAGAATGATGTATTACAGCGTTAAGTGCATTGGGAAGGGTAAACATAATTGTGTGCACAAGAGAGTGTAAATAAACATGTGTATTTTTATATCTGAAATTATATGTTTTATACTAATAATGTGGATAACATCTTAAACACTATTACTAGTTTTTCAAAAAGCCATTTTATTGTGGTTCCTTACGTGACTTTATTTAAAAATGATTGGGTTCAATTATTTAAACCTTGTCATAAGTATATGTGTGGTCTTTCTTTCTTTCTTTCTTTCTTTCTTTCTTTCTTTCTTTCTTTCTTTCTTTCTTTCCTTCCTTCCTTCCTTCCTTCCTTCCTTATTTCTTCCTTTTATTTTTTTCTCTTCTTTTTTTTATGTGTAGTCTAGGCTGTTCTGCTGGCCCTGCTTTGTAGACCAGGCTGTCTTCAAATTCACAGTCATCTTCCTGCTTCTGAGTACTGGGAATAAAGGCATAAAGGCATGTGTCACAGCACCTGCTTCAGCATTCTTTCTTAATGATTCAAGAAAAAAAATTTTTAAATGCCATAACATAATCTGGTAAATTTATCTTACTATTACACAGGGCTCTGTATTTGCTCTTCAAGTTTCTCTTTTTCTACCCATTTCTAACTTTTGAGTTATTTAAATCTCACATTAAAATATTTAATCGAATATTTTTTCTCATATCTGATATAAATTTTAAACTTACAAAGTTCATCTTTGGTCATTTTACAAAAGACCCTGAATTAGAGAGGGGCGTGAATGCCGTTGATACTGTGAGGCTCCTTAGTGATGGCAGAAATCCCTTCTCACAGCTACGGGTTGCTGAGTCCTCCTGATAGTCTCTTAGAATTCCAGGTCGAGATAGTTTAGAAGAGACTCTATGCATATGTAGCACTGTTTCTCTGATGCCACTGAGGACATTGTGTTTCTTAGAAAAACAAAGTAGTCAAGGGATTTATTTCAGGAAAATAATTGTTACAATAAGATTGGTGAATTGTTAGGAAAATTGTTGTCATTTATGATTCACAGATGTTTATGTTTTTGTTTAGAGTGGATAAATGTCAGCCATAGGGCACAGTTGTAACTACGGTATTACCTGCTATCCCCATTTCAATTTAGAACGGAAATGCATGTGTTAAAGAACAGATGCTACAGTTTCATTGTTTAAAGTTAGACCAGGAAACAATTTTTTTTAATTTTTTTTCTTCAAAATTTATTCATTATTTGTTCCGATTAAAGCCCCCTCCCTCAACTCCCCCAGTCCCACCCTCCCTCCCTCTTCCCCTCATCCCCTTCCCCTAGTCCCCTGAAAGGGGGAGTTCTCCACTATTGCCAGCTGCCCATAGCTTGTTAAGTATCATCAGGACTGCTTGGATCCTAGCAGGAAACAAATTTTATATCAAGGATTTCTGGATAGTTTCATGCACAGCTAGCTAATGATGTCATTGACTAGTTTTGCCAGGTTTTTTTTTTTTTTCACATTTTTTTCACCCTTGGTCTTTTCATTGCTTTCATGAATTTCTAGGCAGTTTATAACCAAAATTCTGTTAGATGATCCATTGGTATCTCGCTTCATAAAGAAGTTTTTATTTTTTATTTTTTAGAGGGATTTGATGCAATAAACATTGCTGACACACATCACCAATTCAGGCTGTAATATAGAGTTCTCAGGAGAACATGATTCCATTCCCTCTATTTTTTGGTCTTAGGAGAAACAAGGAATTAAAGGACTCAGTGCTGTGGGGAGATTATGAAACCAAGAAATTAAAAGGCTACCCTGAGTTCTACCATGAGCTACCTATGGGACTTTTTTGATTATCTGTCACCACCAGAGTTTTCAATTACTTTCTAGTTCTTTGAGTATCTCTCTTCCTGAAGAACACAAGAGTTTTGTGCTGGCAGTCCAAATCATATCTCTATTCAATGTCAAAAACACACAGCTTTGGTCACCATGGGTAAAAGTTTTATCGTGTCTAAAGAATTAACTGCTTTCTTAGCACCTATATTCTTAGTAATGTAAAAAGTTATATAAGTCTGTGAATATTTAGATTTATTTATTTTATTTTATGTGTGAGGGTGCGTTGCCTGCATATATGCAAGTTTCCCCATGTGTGTGCGTGGGCCCAGAGAGAGCTGAAGAGGGCATAAAATCACTTGGAATTGGCCTTACAAATAGTTATGAACCACTATATGCAGTAGTGAGAATGGAACCTGGACCTTCTGAGACCAAACGCTCTTGCACAGTGAACCATCTCACCAGTACAAAATCAAGAATTATTCAGTTTTTTATCTTGTTATTATTGTTATTTTGCTTCATTTTATCAATGTGGTATGATTTTTCTTTTTGCTTTTCACCTCTAAGAGCCAAAAGAGAAGTTACTTAATTGGCAAGAAGAACAGCAGAACCATAATGCTTACATATGTCCTGTGAGACACAGACAAGCTCAATCCACATAGGATACCTTTGTGTGTTGTGCTTGCCCTCCTTGTCACCGATAGTGCTATCGGCCTCATTAGTACATGAAGTGGGAACAGAGGATGCCTGGAGACAGTGTATGGGTGCCCAGCTTATCAATCTTAAATGTTGATAATGACTTTAAAGCTGTTTTCCCCCATGTCATCTATTTTCCATTTTTCCCCAGGTTACCCTTAATGGTCACTCAGGAAACATTTCCCTCAACTGTAAAGGTAGGAAAAATATTTTTGATTATACCTTTGTTTTAGTTGTTTCAAAATACACTGTTATCAATAGATACAGATAGGATTGATACTGCTTGTTGTCGATGATATATATTATCTCTATGTAAATGCTAAACTTGAATTCACAGTGTTTGTCAGTCTGAATATTTTCTATCACATTTGTTTGTTTTACTGTAGACGTCAATTTGCTTTATATATGTAGACATTTCCTATATTACTTTCTCCATGATTTTATAGTAACTTATCATACTATATATAATTTCCATATATCAGGAAATTTCACAAACAGATTGACACATAGATGATAACTGGATGGATGAATGGATGGATAGATAGATAGATAAACAGGTAAGTAGATAATAGAAACTAAGTATCTCTTGTGCACAATAATCACACATATACATACATATTTCTATTCACTGACTAAATATTTTAAATAAGTAACTCAAACATACAATACACAAAAGTTAGCTGTGAATAATTTAGCAACATAATGTTAATTTGGAGGGATTTCTTTTCAATATTTGCTTTGCTTTAAAGTACTGAAGATGCAGCCTTTCCTTGGTTAGAGTATACATGAGGATAAATTTAGAGTTTTAGTCTAGTAAACACTTCTCTGCTAATAACTTAATTGTAGCTGTTTCAAACCAAATTGGTTAATTGTGGTGAATCATATGCAGATTGCTCAGATGTAGGTCAACCCCCGCTCCCACATTCTAGGACCTCTTTTCTAATTCAGGACAGACTGCTTCATGTCTAAAAGAGCAGAACAGTACAGATCAGAGACCTTGGATAAAGCCAAAACAGTGACATAAAAGTTAAGAGTGCACCACGAGTCACAGTGTTCCCGTAAAAATGGGAAGGTTGGCTGCATTTATTTAGACCTGGGTTAATGATTTCTTAGCATTTTTATGTTGTTGGGGAGAAGCTTACTTACTTGCCATAAGATTCTTGGCCACCGAATTAAAATCGTGGCCTGCAGGATGATGTTTTCCCATCTGGAAAGGACATGTGGTAACATCATTCTTGGCAACTCAGTGAACTGAAATGATCAACTTAAACCAACCAGAAGAGGTTGGGGCACTGTAAAAGGACACCTGAAGCCCCTGTGGAACTACTGTGCTAGTTCTTTGGTGCTCTGAATGAATGATAGTAGGTGAGCCCAGACTATCACAGGCAGCTCCTGGCAAGACCATCTGAAGAGCTGATAGGCAAAGACGGGGTGCAACCCATGCTGAGGCAGTTGGGATGCAGTTAAAAAGCCTCGCAGCCCTCTCTTTCTAGCCCTGCTACGCAAGTCTAGTCTACAGGTGCTTTCCAATGAATAGCCAAGGCGTCATGATTCCAATCAAACTTCATATGTGTTTTCTGTTGTATTTCTCAAGAAAAAAGTTAGATCTGGTAAAAAGTGCATTGAAAACTCTGATTCAGAGTGTTACTCTCATTGGCTTTCATCTTCATGTGTTATTGCTGATATTTTTGATATGTTGAAAAAAACAAGTCTTGGTGCTTATTGATTAAAAACTACTCTTAGGCTTTAATTCTAAGAAATGAAAAATTCTGTACCAATGTGGCATTTAAAAATTTACATATTCATTATTTTATTTATTTCTTTATTATTACAATTTATTCAATTTGTATCCCGGCTGTGGTCCCCTCCATTCTCCCCTCCCAACCCTACTCTTCCTCCCTCTTTTCCTCCGTAGGGTCAAATGGAAGGGGAGGAGGACCTACCCTATCAGTGGACTGAGGGAGGGGCATGGGAGAACTTTTAAATTATAATATCACTGGAAATTTATCATTCTAGAATTTGAATTGGAGGCCGATGTATCGCAGTAGTCAGTTACTTTTTTCTAACACGCTCGTGGTTGTGGGTTCAATTCCAAGCTATGAAAAAAAGAATCATTAATGACTATGGACAATTTAATCATCATTATTGACATTTTCTAAATTATGACAAAGCAGTAATAAATACAAACAATTCCTTCTGTGAACTTTGAAAATGGATGTTTAACTACATTTTAACTAATCTGTTTTTTTTTTTGCAAAATAGATTATTTATACATTGTCCTTCAATATAAACCCCTATTGTATAAGTTATTTAAAATTAAAAAAAGAATTATACTCTAAAATAAGTGACATTTTCCCAAAAGTTAGCTTGCCAATACTTGATTGTTTCAGTCTTTCTTCATGTCCATAAACAACAATATTAATAAAGGGAAATGATGCTTTTATGCTGTCGGCACAATTCTGAGCATTTTTCTCATTTAATTGTTGATCTCCATCTAAGTCAACAGTACCCATTTCCTCTTTATTAATGACTTGCATTAGTTGATCTTTGGACGTATCATAATTTATTTAATAGATCCTCTAAACATTGCTTTTAAAATAGGATTTTAAAATAGAACTGAGAGAAGCTTTCTTTAATTACACTCCTGGCAGACATACAAAAGAACAATTCCCATTTGTATATTGAATCCAGAAATTAAGGAGTGAAAAAAATATTTTATAAGAGGCATAGAAGTAGTAATAGGTAAGGGTGCTACTGTCAGAGGAAAATAAATGTCATAGGTGATCATGAAAATGTGTCATAAGTAGGTAAAATTGACAATCACCCAAATACCTCAAGATTTACCACAAATGATATCTGTTTTCATAAACATTTTGACTCTTCTCTTTGTCTGTGGTGACCATTTGCCACACCTCTCCATAGGAAAAAAAAGTAGAAAAATAGGGGAAAAATAGAATTGACATATTTGACATATAAAAACTAAATTGTGTTTACCTTTTTGACCACAGTAGTGTATGTGCCATAGAGAGTAATGACTGTGTATTACTCATTTTTTAAATTAATGAATGTAGAATAAATATTCATTCAGCTAAACTGGGTTGAAATGAGACAAACATGCATTATCACATAAAACTATTAAATCACACATAAATTTTTAAGGTGTCATTTCTTGCTCTTCTATTACCTCTGGATTAAGTCATAATTTTCTTATGGATTAGACACAAAAATATAAACATTTGGATTTTGCTATATAATATAACTTATTTTAAATGTAATTTAATAGTTCTTTTTGATATTCAGACACAAAAATCTCCTAAAATAATATACATAAGATTCAAATATTTGTGAAAAATATTTATTATGTAATAATTAAGACTTATATGGTCTTAAAATTGGGAATATAGTACTTGATATAGACTTAGACTTTCTGTTGCCTTTTGTGAATTGTTTGCATGAATGATGTTTCTATTATTGTTAATAACATATTAAAATTGTTCTGTTGATCAAATATTCGACATTTATTTACTAAAGAATGGTAATATATTCAAGAAGAAACTGTGTGAGGCAGAGTGCCACTTATAGTATGTTGTGAGATGGAAATTGCTATTCATGCCCTTTGTGTCATGTATATTAGAGTTATCACGGTATTAAATTATGTTGGAAAGATCCTCAGATCCCTTAGTCTGAGTTCAATGGTAATATTAATTTAAAACATGAAGATGGTATTTGCTAATTCTTTGGGAAAATAACCTAGCCAGAATAAAAAAGATTTTGTAAAAGCTGAAAGAAATAAATGTGAAGCCCAGTTTTCCCAGTACATAAGCAGTGTCTCCAGTACATGACTGTGGCCCTTGGCAGAGCCAGTAAATTGTTTTATCACTTTTTTGGTTTTTGTTCAGCTATATTACAAATGAAGTGCCTCTAGGACCGACCAATG